CCGGGATCCGCTCTACCGGCTTCTCCAGGGAGCCCCTTGCCAGGCTGCTGTGGGCAGGGAAAAGGCCCCTGATTTAGAGGCCCTGCGCCTCCAGGGCCTGCAGGTGCTGCAGTGCCAATGGAGGGGACATCATGGAGCTGCCCGATACCCAAAAGGGGAAAGGCGGTGGGCTGGGGGGTGCCACTCTGACGTGCCTAGAGATGGGCTCCTGCATCACCAGCCACATAAATCCTGTTTCTGCTCAGGCTCCTTGACCATGAGCCCGTTCATGGGGCTGGCGGTCCCTACCCACAGACACAGATTACAACCGGCATGGTGTGGCCACTGCCCATCGAGCAGCCTTGGGCTCAGGCTGCTCTGCCGTGCCCCAGCTCTGCCGCTCCCAGGCCTCGCTGGATGCAGCCACTGCCGGGAGGCAGCTGAATTGCGGTTTAAGGTGAAGTCTCTCCTACTTGAGAGAATACCTAACCTTTATGTAAAAAACGGTGCCACGTTGTATCAGGAGTGTTCTGCCCCAGGGAAACAGCAGTAACTCCCCGTTTCCCTTCCCGGCAGTTCATGCTGCACCTGGCCCAAGGGAAACCATGATGCCCCTGCACACGGTGCCTTTAGACACCCCCTCCCCCCCAGCCGTGCAGCTCCCCCTCCTCAGCCATCTGCACCAGGGCTGGGACACCGGGGCTGGGGCAGGGGGGCTGGCCCCCAGGTGAAGGGAGTCAGGGCAGGCACCACTCTGAAGGACAGGGCTGCCCCGAGGCCGCTCAAGAGCACGTGGGAGGATCGTTAAAGGAGATAAAACAAGAGCGGGTATCTTAGAGGCTCTTCGCCTTCCTCGTAGGCGAGGTGCAGTGCTGGGGATCCTGAGGAGACACCAGTGTCCCTTCAGCCAGCAGCAGCTGCCCACCCCAGTGAGAGCTGCCTAATCCCCCTTGCACTCCTTCTGTCCTTCATGCCCATCCGGCCTCCTTTACGGTTGCTTTCCCAGCTGCTTTCCTTGCATGGGGGGTGGGGGCGGGGGGGACTGACTTCCAGGGCCATCACGTGCCACCAGTTCAGGCAGGACCAAGGACTCAGGAGGATGCAGAGCCACGCAGCTCCCCTGGCCTCATATAGGAAACCGGTGGCAGAGAACAAATCAAAATCAAACCCACTTCTAGGCCACCACCGTCTTCTCAGCACACGACACCATGCAAACTGCTGAAACACCTGAGCAGTCAGCACACAGAAATATCTATTGCATCCAAGACTGGGCAAAACACATTCATTGAATAACCACTTTTGCTTGTCTTGCCCTCACTGCTCAGACAAGAAGTTATAGAGGCCAAGCCTGTGGCGGGTATGATTGATGGTCTGCATTAGGCACTTGTTGTGAATCCCTGCTTACTGCCCTGCACGGGTTCCTCCTCGTTCCTATCATGCGGCTCCCCATCTGCTCTTCTCCTTGCCCTGTGTGCTGTTTTATCATGCTGATGGGGCCCAGCAACACAATCCTGGTATGCCTAGGCTCTGTAATGCCGCATGTCAAGGACAATATTCTATAATAACCGTGATTTGGGTTAGATTTCAAATTGCTTGGTGTTTTGCTTTCTGCATTTGATTTGTGTGAAAAGAGCTGGACACTTGATAGCCTTCACTGCGCTACAGTCACGCAGCTGTCAGCCAGGTATCACGCTTTCAGTGGCAAACAAGCAAAGCAACTGTTCGTCTCAGTTTGCCTTCTTGAACTTGAGCAGAGAGAGGGTTATGTTGTTTGCTTCCTTGACATGGAAGGAAAACTTCCCTTCAACCCTTACCTAAGGTCAGGCCCTGTTCATTACAAATTGCTGTGATTAGGGGCAGGAACTTTCCTGGTCAGGTATAACAGCAGTCCTTAACTTAGACACAGGTTATTTTCCAACTCGCAAGTTCTGATTTCCAGATGTTTGGGGAAATTATACAGCAGAGAAAGAGAGCATGAATGGAATAGCATAGGTGAAATGCTGGCATGACTGATTTCCCTGGGAGTTTTGCCACCGGCTTCAAAAGAAAAAG